TTATAAACTCAGGCTTGAGCCGAGCTTAAGACTTTTGGGCTCAGCTCGGCCTGAGCTTTATGAGGCTCGGCTCGGCTCGGCCTATGAGGAGCTTTAGCTATGACATACCAAAACTAAATATCCACATTTACCATAGAGTCATCATTAAATATTGATATCTCATAATCTGAATTTTTACCAACCTGAAATAACACTTCCAATACTTTTGTTTTTCGTTTAATACTTTCTATTTTCAACAGAGACGAATTCACTGCACAGTCTATTACTCCTCTTACATATTCGAAAGAGGGTAAAATGTTGTTTTCTATTGTCAGATAAACTGCGGACGTGCTACAAAGACTATCTAATGGCTCTTCCAATAAAAGTGCTTCAATCTTAGATACTAAATATGTCATATTGGTAATAAAAGATTTAATATTTCGATAAATCAAATTGCAAATAAAGTCACAACTAAAGCTTTCACCAACACCGCTATACTCTCCTTTTAATGTTTCTCGTTATTTCTTTTTTAGTATCTCGACTTATAAATTAAGAAATTGGTATATGCACGATAACAAAGAATATGTATATGTTCCAAAGTCTGTTATTTGATTATAGGTAAAAAAGTTCACGATACTTTCCTTTTACCACTTTTCGTCATTTCACCAAAGAATATATTAGGAAAAAGATAACGTATGCACAAGAACAAAGGGTATGTATATATCTCGAGTCGATTATTCAAACTAGGTTATCGATATCCCTATTTGTAAAAGGTACAACATATCAGATTAGTTTTGCGATAAATATAAATATGAAGTTGGCAAAATAAAAAATGATGTTATGTATCTGTTTTTGAGAAATTTTCACATAGATATGCAGGGTGTAAAGGGCACTAATTAAATTTGGTAATCGGTGTATCGCATAACCTAATGATGCATGCAGGTTCTATTATATTCGAATTCCTTCTATGGCATATATCACATGGTAGGTTAATTATTTTAGCAAATATATCAAGTTACACAAATTATCTAATCGAATATAATCACCGGTGCAAGTAGTAAATCTTTGAATCTTTTTTCAATATAGGCCAATACCTTTCTCGATAATATCTTAGATGGAGATACATCTATCAATACCTTCTCAGCATCTTTTTCAGTACATATATATACCCACATTATATGGATAAATTCTCCTCCTTTATAATTATGCCTATAATGTTGCAAAAATCGATACTCCTTTATTACAATATCTGTCATCTCCTCTTGACCTGTTATCAATTTTCAAAAAAGCTGTTTATCCTCTTCTGTTATGGGGAGGTGAATTTCCTCAGGCTCAAAGCCTATATATTGAGATAGTTTTTCACGTAATTCAGACATTATATAATAAACACATAATAATTATTAGTAAAAAATGGTTCGTTATTGCCATCTACTCATGCTAAAAATCTTACAACTATTCACCAGTGCAATTTATGAACCGGTTTTGGTACTTGTCGAAGGCAGACATATAGTGGCTATATTCCGAGATTAACAACGTTTTCAACAGTTCTGATGATATATGTATGATATATATATGATATATAACTAGAATCACTGAATATGAAGGGCTTCTATTGTAAAGGCGTATATCGAATATATACATTATTAATGGAGGACCTAAATCAACAAAAAATGAATCGTGTATTAGTAATGTATAAAGTTATTGAAATCTAATAGGTCTAAATCTTTAAATTCGATATAAATAACCAAATATGTCAGGTTTTAATATTTCTATTATTATTGACAAAAAAGCTAAATCACAAAAACTCATTAATAATAGACTGGAATATGATATGAAGTATGTTGTCTCGTATATTTACAATTATTGTGGTATTAATGATTATCAACGATACTTTGACGATCTGTATGAGACTGAAAAACGATATGATACATTATCAGCTATTCGACCTCACGAAACGTTAAAGCAATGGGCTATTCAGGTATACGTGTTGCCCAAATCCCAAATTACTAGTATTTGGGATTTGGGATTTGGGATTTCGGCAAAAAATACTAAT